ACAAATTCATGGAAATACACAACCTCCCAAGGTTGAATCAGGAAGAAGTTGAAACCCCAAATAGAGTGAATATCAAGTTCTGAAACCGAATCAATAATAAAAACCTACTAACAAAAAAAAAGCCCTAGGCCGAATGGATTCATAGTCAAATTCTACCAAATGTACAAATGAGAGCTGGTACCAATTCTACTGAAATTATTTCAAAAAACCGAGGAGGAAAGACTCCATCTTAACTCATTCTAGAAAGCCAGCATCACCCAAATACCAAAACCTCACAAAGACAAAACAAAAAAGAAAACTATAGGTTAATTTCCCTGATGAACACAGATGCAAAAATCCTCAGCAAAATACTAGCAGACCAAATCCCACAGCACATCAAAAAGTTAATTTGCCATGATTAAATAGCCTTTATTCCTGGGATGCAAGGATGGTTCAACATATGCAAATCAATAAATGTGATTCATCATATAAATGGAATTAAAAACAAAAACCATAAGATCATCTCAAGAGATATAGAAAGAGCATTCAATAAAATCCAACATCCCTGTATGAGAAAAACTCTCAAAAACAAAAACCCAGCAACTAGGCATCAAAGGAACATACCTCAAATAAATAAGAGCCATCTATGACAAACACACAGCCAGCATCATACCAAATGGGCAAAAGCTGGAAGCATTCCCCTTAAGATCAAGAATAGGGCAAGAATGCCCACTTTTATCACTTCTATTCAACACAGTACTGAAGTCTCTGCCAGAGCAATCAAGAAAGAGAAAGAAATAAAAAAAGAAGTCAGATTATCTCTCTTAGTTAACAATATGATTCTTTGTGTATATGTGAAAAAAAAAAAAAAAAAAGTCTAAAAAAAAAAAAAAAAAAAAAAAAAAGATAAGGTCCTGCTCTGCAACTAGGCTGGAGTGCAGTGGTGCTATCATAGCTCCTTGTAACCTGAAATACCTGGGCTCAAGCCATCCTCGTGCCTCAGCCTCCCAAGCAGCTGGGACTATAGACATGTATAACTACCACAACTGGCTATTAATTTTTTTTTTTTTGGTAGAGACAGGGTTTCATATGTTGTCCAGGCTCATCTCAGACTCCTGCGCTCAAGCGACCCTCTAGCCTTGGCCTGCCAAAACATTGGTATTGCAGGTGTGAGCCACCACACCCAGTCCAACAATATGATTCTATAGCTAGAAAACCCTAAATACTCTGCCAAAAGGCCCCTAGGACCAAAACTTCAATAAAAATAAATAAAATCATTGTACAAAATCAGTGGCATTTCTAGACATTGATAATATTCACACTGAGAGCCAAACCAAGAAAGCAATCTTATTTATAAGAGCCACACAAAAAATAAAATAACTAGGAATACATCTAACCAAGGAGGAAAAAGATCTCCACAAGAACTATAAAACACTGCTGAAGCAAATCATAGTTGACAAAACAAATGTAAAAGCATTCCGTGCTCAAGGAATTAATAGATGAAAGAATCAATATTGTTCAAATGGTCTTACTGCCCAATGTCATCTAAAGATTCAACACTATTTTATTGAACTACCAATGTCATTTTTCACAGAATTAGAAAAAAATCCTAAAATTCATATGGAACCAAAGAGCCCAAAGCAATCCTAAGCAAAAAGAACAAAGCCAGAGGCATCATATTATTCAGCTCAAAGTGTACTTTAAGGCTACAGTAATGAAACAGCATGATATTCATACAGAAATAGACATGTAGACCAATGGAACAGAATGAAGAAAACAGAAATAGTCTCGTACCTATAGCTATTTAATCTTTGACAAAGTCAACAAAAATAAGCAATGTGGAAAGGACTCCCTATTCAATAAATGCTGCTGGGAAAGCTGGCTAACCACATGCAGAAGAATCAAACTGGACTCCTACCTTTCAACATATTTAAGAATTAACTAAGGATGGATTAAAGATTTAAATAGAAGCCCTCAAACTATAAGAATTCTAGATGAAAACCTCAGAAATACTATTCTGGACATACGCCTTGGGAAAGAGTTTATGACTAAGTCCTCAAAAGCAATTACATCAAAACCAAAAATTGAAAAGTGGGATCTCATTAAACTAAAGAGGTTCTGCAGAGCAAAAGAAACTATCAACAGCATAAACAGATAATCTATAAAATGGAAGAAAATATTACCAAACTATGCACCCAACAAAGGTCTAATATATGACAAGGATATAATATTTATAAGAAGCTTAATTCAACAAGCAAAAAATAACCCCATTAAAATGTGGGAAAAAGAAATAAAAGGATACTTCTCAAAAGAAGGCAGACAGGTAGCTAACAAACCTGAAAAATGCTGCACACAGCAAATCAAAACCACAGTGAGATACTGGCTCACATTAGTCAGCATGACTCTTATTAAAAAGTCAAAAACAACAGATGCTGGTGAGACAGTGGAGTAAAGGAACACTTAGAGCTGTCAGTGGGAATGTAAATTAGTTCATCCATTGTTTGGAGATTTCTCAGAGAACTTACAACACAATTGCCAATGGACCCAGCAATTCCATTACTGGGTATATACCCAATGGGAAATAAACTGTTCTATCAAAAGTACATAGGCACTCGTATATTCACTGCAATATACAATAGTAAAGATAGAAAATCAACCTAGGTATCCATCAGTGATGAACTGCATAAAGAAAATGTGGTACATATACGCCATAGAACACTATATAGCCATCAAAAAGAACAAAATTATGTCCTCTGCAGCAACATGAATACAGCTGAAGCCCATTATCTTAGACAAATTAACACAGAAACAGAAAGCCAAATACTTCATGTTCTCACTAAGAAGTGGGAGCTGAGCACTGGATACACAGGAATAAGAAGATGGGAAAAAACGGACACCAGGGGATTACTAAATGGGAGAGAGAAAAGGCAAAGGGCTGAAAAACTACCTATTGGGTATGACTCTTACTACCTGGGTGACAGGATCATTTGTACTCCAGACCTCAGCATCACGCAATGTACTCATGTAACAAACCTGCGCATGTATCCCTAAATCTAAAATGAAAGTTGAAATTATTAAAACAAATGTTCATGCTTTCCAGCCTCTGTGAGACATGCCTGTAACTTTAGAAAAAGCATGGAAATAAACCAACTACAAGAAATTTTTATTTATTTTGTTGCACTGGACCTAGAAGATTTACCTATAAATTGTGGAGATTTATCTTTTTTAAGGCAAGTTTCAGGGTGCTTCATAGGTTGTGTAACAAACACTACTTATGTCTCTAGCGTGACATGTTTAAATACTCTGCTCCATGTTCTTCAGGCTATGCATCTCTAGAGTGGGCTAATGCTCGGAAGAGTTGTTTTTTTTTATTTCATAGATTTGGGTTGGGTTTGTTTTTAACTACAGAAGATTTGCTTTTCTGCTTAAAGCTAAGTCAGCCTAACTCTTTTCCTCTTCTATTTCCCAAATCTTCCAGGTAATGAAAAGCTTTGTTCCATAGAAAAAATATCTGTATTGAATTTAGAGTTCTGCTTCTTTTAGACAGCACTTTTTCTTGGGGCTAATCATCACTAATTACTTACTAGTCTGTCAGAAACCTGCTTCTACCAAAGACTGAAAAGAAAGGGAACCAGGCCACTCATTAGTTTGTCTCCGAAGACCTCTTCCATCACAAATGTGAGGGTTCATTGCATGCTCAGGGAATAGCTCTTTCTCATACAGTCCTAAAAAGTAGGTTTTCTCAGATGCCTTTTCTTAAAAGATTCTAGCTTCAGTACCTTATATGAAACAGGAAGTAGCTGACAGAGAATCAGGTAAGTTCAGGCATGTGGAAGCTCTGCTGAAAACAGTTATGCTAGTAAAAAGTAAAACCTTGTGGTGTGATGCGTAATCTTAAAAGTACAGCCCACTCTGTGGAATTTTGTTATGAAAACATTCTCATTCTCCACCAATTATCCTTTTCCTTTGGCCCAATTTATTTCCTTAAAGTCACCCAGACTTACAGGCTTTGCAAAAAATGCTATGGGTTTTATAATGAGGTGATATATTTTCCACTTACTGAGAATGTGCTTCTCTTAAGAGAAACACAAGCTCCAACATGGCTCTTGCTTTTTAAGCAAAGCATAGATCTTCAGGCTGCATCATGAAAAAGTCGATATCATTTATGCACTGCAAGTACATGTGCCTATGGTTGATGTCTATCATGAAACAGTGATTCAGTGCCATGTATGTTCATTTGGTGATTTGTGATTACTTTTAGGTAAAAGAACTACCAGAAATGAAAAAAGCCAGTATTCACTGAATTCATCACAGTTACAATGAATAACTGAAGCAATAGAAAGAATAGTTATATTTGTTTTAACATACCATTTTAAATAAATTTTGGAAGTGGGGCCTGGGGGATGGTTGTTCTGTGGCTGGAATGGTTTTTGGGCTCTCTCTCTCTCTGTTTATCCAACTATCTGTTCTTTTGTGTTTTCCTTGGTTGTTGGTGATGAGTGCACAGCATTTCAGAGTCATCCTCTGCTAAGGCAGCACATTTATAAGTATCTGTAGATTAACATTAGCACCCGGAACATCTGCAGAAGGGGGTTCTTCCTAGTACCATACCGCTCCAAGTGATGGAGAACTTCTTACATAGTAAGACATCTGTATTGTATTTAGACTTCAGTTTCTTTTAGATAACATTTTTTCTTTGGACTGATCAGCACAAATTATCAACGAGCTCCCTAACTGAATAGGTTTTTGGTACCACAAAAGACAGCAGATACCACACATTGCAAATGAATGAATCTAAATTTTACGAAGTGGGCAACCTCTTACCCCACTCAGATCCTCAATTTTAAGTTCTCAGAAAATAATTTCTTTTTGTTGTAGCTTATCTTCTGGTTCTCTCCAACCTCTTTCAATTTATGTATTCACATTGTGACACTTATTATTTATTCAGAATGAATCACTGGCCAGTTGCACAGAGAAAGGCAAGAGCCATTAATCAATGCAAACCAAAGTCAGAAGTTTACCTTAGTTCCTTGAAGGGGTCTGCCCTGACATTAGGTGTTTCTATAGATTTAGGGAACACTGTGCCCTCCGCTCCTGTAAACAAAAGAGAAAAGCAAACAGATTGGAGATACTGGAGTCACCTGGAGGCACAATCAGCACACTGACTGAAGCTAAATTCAGCACATCCATAACACAACCCAATATCCACATATTTTTCCACTGGCTTTGGGCTCTATGATAGGAAAGCATTAAATCACTCATGCAAACGGCCTTTGGAAAAACAAGGAACTTCTTTTAAAAGCATTCTTGCTGAGATCAGAGTGAGGCAATGAGGCAAATTCCATCTCGGCTTCAGAAAGGAAAAGATGCCTAGAAATGGTAAGATCTGACTCTTGTCTCTCAGAAACTATTAATAGTCACCCAACTGGAAATGTTTTGAAAAACAGCAACCAAAGCTCTCTTATTGCAATGCATGGCACAAATCACCTAACACGTATGACATCTACACAGTGGGTTAGATGGTAGAAGAGTGAAGTATTTGCCTAATGACAAGCACAAGTTTTTCAGTAAATAAAGTTCTACATTATCATCTTGAAAAGTTAAGCAAAACAGAACATTATGAGAGATCATTTGAAGTTCAGAGTTTTTCCACTTTGAGTATTAACATTGATCTCAAACCCAATCTGGACATTTAGTTCTTGACTGGGCTATAAGCTTTTATCTTTACAACTTGTCAATACCAGCTGAACCTTTGCAGCCATAAAGATAGTGATTATCTGATTTGTCTGCTCCCAAAGTGTTTTCAAATCATTTAAGCCTCAGTTTATCACAGACAATTGTACTGGATATTAGTTTTTCAATTAAACTTAGCTGAGGCAGCATCCTGTGCTTCGAAGTAAAAGTTGTTTCTTTTATACATTTGATGTACTTTGATGCTGTAAGTAGGGAAGAATATCTTCCTTCTATGTCTGAATTTCTAGAATCCTCTTACATTGTTATAATATCTAGAAATGCTCCATTACATTTGACAAAGAACATGCTTTTGAATGGTGTGGTGTTCTGTCAACGAGATGTTAAGCACAGTGTGGGCAGGGACAAGGTCTTATGTGGTATATAGGCAGACTGACTTTAGGTTCCAAAGGCTTCTACTGGCCTAATTTCCAACTGGTACTGATGCTTCTATGGGAGTACTAAATTATTACTTTCTCAATGCCAGGCTAAGCTGGTGCCTACTGAATGGCAACCCAGCAAAATCTAGAGGGATAGGCTCTGACAGATAGAGGTAGCAAATGATTGACAGGCTTTGGATGTAGGAAGGATGTAAAGAACAAATGCTCACGCTCCATCAGCTAACACCATCCAACCAAAAACTCTTTGATTATGTTTTTGCTGGGCTTTGACCAATGAGGGGGTCCATATGTTCCACATACTGGAGAATAAGACTCATTGGTAAGACTTCCAAGGGGAAGATTTCAAAGCCACTCATTAGCTGAGTGACCTTGGGCATGAAGTTCAACCTCTGTGATACTCAGTTTCCCTCTCTCAAAAGAGAGGGTGTTGATAGTACCCTTATCTCCTAGGGATCTTGGAAGACTGAATGTGATTTCTGGCACAAAGCAATCAGTAGTAATATTATAAAATGTTTATGATTCCTATTCATCTTTCTTCTGATCCAGATCTTCTATGACTCTTAAGAATAATATTTTTATAGCATTTACTATAAACCAGAAACTGTACTGGATATTCCAGTTTTTCATTTGATCACCAGAATAACCCTATGGAGTGGAGACTGTTAGTATCTTTGAGGCTCTGGGAGGTCAGGAAATGTTCCTATGGTCACACAGCTAAGTGGAGGTGGGAGGGATAACTGAGTGAGGGGTGGGAGTGTTGGGATTTGAACTCAAATCCTTCCATTCTCAAACCTTTGATCACTATTTTAAACTACCTCCCTCAGTAGATTGTTACTCCTTTACATGCTCATCTTTTTATGAGATATGAGCAAATATCAATGTTTATACCATCAAGTAATGCTGCTAAATCTTCAATCACCTTTCTTCTCAAAACGATTCATATCTATAATGAGATATGAATACTCTTCAAAAAGGCCATTTCTTTCCAAGTGCTATCAGGTTTCTGATTTTCACACGATTTTTCACATTCCCAGAAGCTCCAGAGTAGACAATCATCCTTCAGTATGAATTCCCCCATCCCATTCTCTCTCTGTTTTCTCAGATAATAAATTATCCTCGATTTTATTATTTCAAAAAGGTTTCTATTAAAACCATACCTACTGATTTCCTCTTTTGACACAATATAATTTACTGGCAATAAATGTTCATAAACAGTTTGAATGAAAAATCCATAAAGCCATTTCAGCTTTATTTTAAGTTCCATTTAATGTCTCTCAAAAATGATTTCATCAATGTGTTTCCATTAGCTGGTTCTCTGCCCAATAACTTAATTCCACACAATCAATCAGGAAATTATAAAGCATGTGACAGGATCTATCTAAAGTGTTTTGAATCACCATAAAGCTCAGCTCAATGGCTCTTTTCCTTACTAGCACAGGAAGGGGGTAAACTTGTCAAAACAAAAAAAAATCTCAAATGCACTGCCATAGTAACAAAAGGCCGACTTCTCCTCTCCAGAAAAGATATTCAAGTCCAGATCTCAGTTTCCTCATACTTTTCCCTCAAAGTGTCCTGGATGTCAAGAGAGTTGAAATCTAGTCCTTTCTCTGTGCTTAGGCAAGTCAGATAAAAATCTGTGGTTCTGGATTTCCCCAATTCTTAAATGAGGGATAAGCATCAGAGTTAAACTGTCTACCCCCAAATCTAAAATTTTATGAGATTTACAATTCTAATCTAAGCAGAAGATTGCCTCTAGCCACCTCTTTTTTTCTAATGAGAAGACAAACAATCCTGGAATATCAAAGGAAATTGTGAAACATTTTCTCAGCGTTTAAGGGGAAAAAAAAAAAAGAAACACACTTCTATCCAATTGAAGCTGCATTTAATTGGTAGAAATAATTACCAGAAAATAAACCTTATAACAGATAAAATGGCAGACAGCAAAAATGAAACTAACTAAAACATCAAAACTCTAAAAACATTGTAATTCTTTAAAACTCCAAAAATGGATCTGAGAAAATTACATTGTATAAAAAATAATAATAAATTACCTAAAACTATACAGACGTTAAAATTTGCTGTGGACTAAATACCGAAAAAAAAATTTAGAGCTGGAAAATGTGACACAGAAAAATTGAATTTGAGGAAAACACTGGACAAAAAATTACTAGGACAGCAACCATCACAAGTGAAATTTGATAAAGAAAATTTATGATGAATCACACTTTTCTTGTATATGGAGAAGAACTGATATCAAAGGTAATAATTTCAAGAAATGTTTTTTTAAAAACTGAAAATTAAGTATACTGTTTAAAAAATTGATTAAGAATTTAAACTAGCTTAACAGAGTTTGCTTTGGTAAATTTTTTTCCTGATGAACATTATTAATATTGGTATAATTATGATTGGTGCTTTTATATTAATGAATATGAGCTAAAAATCATCTTTGGGTTTAAACCATGGGGCCAAAATGTTCAACAGATTCAAAAGGCAGAGTTAAAATATCCTATGAATAAGGTCTGATGTAAAAACGTAAGTTTTCTAATTCCCATTGCTTGGGAAAATATAACCTAAATGGTAACTTTAATAACAATAATATTTTACTTTACAAGATAAGGATATAGTTTTATATCCACATTAGATTATAAAATGGAGAAAGGAAGTCAATCTAGAGAATGGTGATAAGAAAATGGAAGAAAAATGATTTTGTTTCTGTAACATCCAAATACTGAGAAATTAAGAACGCGATTTTTGGTTTTAGTTTTGCATATTCATTGCATGGCTTTTGACAACTCTCTCTTTAGTATTATTTCTTCATTTGGATGAATTACGTAATCTTTATAGTTTCTCCGACACTCATCCCCCTGCCATCTCCTGCTATTTTATTATTTTTCAGATATAACTGACTGGATAACTCTATGCACCAGGAGAGGAGCACAGTATGTTGATGAACTCAGAGTTTAATTAATTTAACAAATCTCTATCAAGCAGGAGGCTCTAGTGGTGAAGCAAAGAGGTAAGAAGCTCACAGTATAGTAGGGTAGAGTATCCTCCACTATTGTGAGGATACTATAAACTTCACTTTAAACCTAAATTTAAACCACTAGTGTACATTAATTGGCTTAAATAACTAGTAATTGGCTGGGTACAGTGGCTCATGCCTGTAATCCCAGCACTCTGGGAGGCTGAGGCGGGTGGATCACCTGAAGTTGAGAGTTCGAGACCAGCCTGACCAACATGGAGAAACCCTGTCTCTATTAAAAATACAAAATTAGCCTGGCATGGTGGCACATGCCTATAATCCCAGCTACTTGGGAAACTGAGGCAGAACAATTACTTGAACCCAGCTGGCGGAGGTTGTGGTGAGCAGAGATTGCGACATTGCACTCCAGCCTGGGCAACAAGAGCAAAACTCCATCTCCAAACAAAACAAAACAAAGCTAGTAACTAATTTCAAATGAAACTATACAGTAGGGATAAAGAAAAGAAACATGTCTTTGAATGTATAAAACTTGATGTCACAACCTGGTTTGGCAGATAGTTTCCTAAAGAAGTGAAGTTTTGCTGATATTTGAAAAATAATTAGGACTCAACTAGTCAAGAAGGGAATGAATGCAGCAGTAGAAAAAGAGCATGGAAAGGCTTTAGAGTGGGGAAATTCCAGTTGATAAAGAAGACTGGGCCAGGCACAGTGGCTCACACCTGTAATTCCATTACTTTGGGAAGCTGAGGCAGGCAGATCATGAGGTCAAGAGTTCAAGCATAGTATGTTGGTGAACTCAAAGTTCAATGAACAAATCTCTACCAAGCAGGAGGCTCTAGTGGTGAAGCAAAGAGGTAAGAAGCTCACAGTATAGTAGGGTAGAGTATCCTCCACTAGTGTGAGGATACTATAAACCTCACTTTAAACCTAAATTTAAACCACTAGTGTACACTAATTGGTTTAAATAAGTAGTAATTGGC